CCCAAGGTCAAAGATAATGGAAAAAGCAAACCGGCTCACCAGGAACGAACGTCTTAAACGGGCGGGGCGACGAAAGTTCGGCCTTCGCTAATTCAACCTCCTTCAACAACTTGCGCCAACTACGATCGGAATGCGGAACTTTCGCAAGATCCTGAAGCCTCTCAGCGAACTCGACAGAGAGCTTGGGTTCCTTCTTCCTCCGGGCTACAAATATCAAAAGTTCCGACCTGTTAGCGAAAAAAAAAAGCCCGTGGTTAGGAGGTGGAGTATAGAATGAAAGGAAAAACTTACTATAAACGTCGACAACTCGGCTCGGGACAGTCATCCCGTCAATTTTGGGCTCGGCTAAGAAGTCGGCCGACTCCCAATCGCCGCCAACCCAGAACCATTCCTCTTGGAAACCGTGTAGCGTGTCGGGGATCCCGGTCATCAGTTGACCGACCTTCAGGTCTCCTAGCGCCTTGGCAGAGCAAAAGAAACAGCCAGAGGGCGGCACGCCGTCCCGCTCCCGACTTCGCTTAAAGAAAAAGATGCTCCGAAATTCGTTTATCGACGGGAACGGCAACTTGTTTTGAACACAGAGGACCAAAAGTCCGATGATTTTCTTCCAACTATTGGGCGTGATCTGGCTGATGCCAATTCCCCAGTCCCGGAGGTAGTCGGTAATGATGTTGGGGAGGGGAAACCGAAGCCCCGATCTAATCGTTTCAGCAAACACCCCCACACAGCCGGGAGGGGGAAAATGAATTCTCTCGCCGGGATAGGGGGCAAACATCTTCACAGTGGGGGGGATTCGCGCCGACTTCCTCAATAACACCACGTCGGCATCTGTCATAGTACTAGGCTCGCCCGGGAATGAGACGCTGACGTCGGCCCAACGCCGAGGAGGGCGATTCCAGAAGCCTTCACGGACGGGGAGATCACTCTCCACTTCGGCATCACCTTCATGGTTGTTCCATCGTAAGACCAAACGCTCAGCCAACAGCGGATCCCAGCGATAATACCCTAACGCCAATTCTAAGTCTCCCTCCTCATCGGACACAACTTCACGACCGACCTCGTCGGAAATCGTTCTGCTACTGCTCCCTTCCGCTCGCTCCGCCATCGTTTCGACAGTCGATAGGTTCAAAGCAAAACAAAGGAAAAACACTAACTAATCAAAGATTGGGAAGAAAGAAAACAAGAGAACTTACCACAAACAACGGAGTCCGAGACGTCAAGAACAAAAGCCGCAAAAGCAAAGAGAAAGTAAAAATCAAAAGCAAAGATCAGAAGAGTTGAAAGCGATATGATTCAAGGTGATGG